CAAGTTCTCCTCAAGTTCTCCTCAAGTTCTCCTCAAATTCTCCTCAGGTTCTCCTCAAGTTCCCCACAAGTTCTCCTCAAGTTCTCCTCAAGTTCCCCACAAGTTCTCCTCAGGTTCTCCTCAAGTTCTCCTCAGGTTCTCCACAAGTTCTCCACAAGTTCTCCTCAGGTTCTCCACAAGTTCTCCACAAGTTCTCCACAAGTTCTCCACAAGTTCTCCTCAAGTTCTCCTCAGGTTCTCCACAAGTTCTCCTCAAGTTCTCCACAAGTTCTCCACAAGTTCCCCTCAAGTTCTCCACAAGTTCTCCTCAAGTTCTCCTCACCACCACCACCACCCATCCCACCTCCCTCCCTCCTCCTCCAGCCCTTCCCCAACCCCAGGAGCTCCAGGATGGCCCTGGTGGGAGGTGACCTCATTGTCCCCTGGTTGTCCCCAGGTTGTCCCCAGGTTGTCCCCAGGTTGTCCCCCCTGGCCAAGGCCACCCCAGGTCCCGGTACCTTCTTGGCCCCGGTCAGCGCCGCCTTCTGCAGTTTGTTGTAGCAGTACTTGGCGTAGGTGCTGATGGCCACCCCTGCAGGAGAAGACACGGTGGGTGGTGGGATGTCACCTCCAGGCCGGTGGGATGTCACCTCCAGGGTGGTGGGATGTCACCTCCAGGACCTTAAGGAGCTCCCCCCGTCCCCTCCCCATGGTCCTTCTCCATCCCCATCCTTTGTCCTCCTCAAACCTCTCAAGAACCTTGGAGGAACCACCCGAGGTGGAGCTCTGGAGCTCCGTGGAGGCTCCATCTCAGGTGGCTTTTGGAGGCTCCATCTCGGGTGGCTTTTGGAGGCTCCATCTCGGGTGGCTTTTGGAGGCCACCACTGCCACGGTCACCACTCCCACCCCCTCTGTCTTCTCCAGGTCCCACCACTTCCATCTTCTCACCCCATCTCCTGTTCCTGATGTTCTCCAGTGAGGAGATGGCGCCGATCCCACCAACCCTGGAGACCTGAGAGGACCTTCTGGAAAATCCCACCAACCCTGGAGACCTGAGAGGACCTTCTGGACCATCCCAGGAGAAGCTCTGGGGACCTGGTGGGACCTTCTGGACCATCCCAGAGCCTTGGAGATCTGGTGGAACTTTCTGGACCATCCAAGGAGAAGCTCTGGGGACCTGGTGGGACCTTCTGGAGCATCCCAGAGCCTTGGGGATCTGGTGGGACCTTCTGGACCAACCCTTGGTGGGACCTGGTGGGACCTTCTGGACCATCCCAGGAGAAGCTCTGGGGACCTGGTGGGACCTTCTGGACCATCCCAGGAGAAGCTCTGGGGACCTGGTGGGACCTTCTGGAAAATCCCAACAGCCCTGAGAACCTGGTGGGACCTCCTGGACCAACCCTTGGTGGGACTTGATGGAACCTTCTGGACCATTCCAGGAGAAACTCTGGGGACCTGGTGGGACCTTCTGGACCATCCCAGGAGAAGCTCTGGGGACCTGGTGGGACCTTCTGGAAAATCCCAACAGCCCTGAGAACACCAACACCAATGCAACACCAATGCCCATAGTGCTGACGCTAATATTAATTCTAATAATATTAATATTATTAAATAAATGACACCAAGTCCACCTGACCATTATTAATTACCCCGATTAATGCAATATTAATACCAATACCAATGCTAATACTAATACCAATACCAAAATTAATACTAATAGGAATATTAATACTAACAGTACTCGAATGCTAATAATACTGATGCTGATATTAGTACCAACACTAATACTAATAATATTAATAATATTAAATAAATGATACCAAGTCTACCTGACCATTAGTAATTACCCAAATTAATGCAATACCAATACTAATGCCAATACCAATACTAATACTACTATTAATATTAGTACTATTACCAATACTAATACTACTAACATTAATATTAATACCAACACTAATACTAATAATATTAATATTATTAAATAAATGACACCAAGCCTACCTGACCATTATTAATTACCCCCATTAATGCAATACTAATAGCAATACTAATACTATATACTAATATTAACACAAATACCAAAATTAATACTAATACGAATACTAATACTAACAGTACTCGAATACCAATACTACTGATGCTAATATTAGTACCTACACTAATACAAATAATATTAATATTATTAAATAAATGACACCAAGTCTACCTGACCGTTATTAATTACCCCCATTAATGCAATACCAATACCAATACTAATACAACTAACACTAATATTAATACTATTTCTAATAATATTCATATTATTAAATAAACTACATCAAGTCTACCTGCCCATTATTAATTACCCCAATTAATGCAATACTAATACTTATACCAATACCGATACCAATGCCAATACTAAGACTACTGACGCTAATATTAATACCAATAGTAATACTAATAATATTAATATTATTAAATAAGTGACACCAAGTCTACCTGACCGTTATTAATTATCCCAATTAATGCAATACCAATGCTAATACTAATACTATTACCAATAGTAATACTATTACCAATACTACAAATGCTAATATTATTACCAACACTAATACTAATAATATTATTATTATTAAATGAATGACATCAAGTCTACCTGACCGTTATTAATTACCCCAATTAATGCAATACTAATACTAATACCAATACCAATACAAAAATTAATACGAATATGAATACTAATACTAACAGTACTCGAATACTAATACTACTGATGCTGATATTAATACCAACACTAATACTAATAAAATAATATTATTAAATAAATGCCACCAAATCTACCTGACCATTATTAATTACCCCAATTAATGCGATACTAATACCAATACTAATGCTAATATTAATATTAGTCCTAATACTACTAACATTAATATTAATACCAACACTAATAGTAATAATATTATTAAATAAATGACATCAAGTCTACCTGACTGTTATTAATTACCCCAACTAATGCTAATACCAATACCAATACTAATACTACTAATGCTAATATTAATACCAACATCAATAGTAATAATATTATTAAATAAACAACACCAAGTCTGCCTGACCATTATTAATTACCCCAATTAACGCGATACTAATACCAATACCATGCCAATACCAATACTAATGGTAATACTACTAATGCTAATATTAATATCAACACTAATACTATTAATATTAATATTAATTAATGAATGACACCAAGTCTACCTGACCATTATTAATTACCCAAATTAATGCAATACCAATACCAATACCAATACCAATACCAATACCACCATTAATACCAATACCAAAATTAATACTAATACTAATACGAACACTACTCAAATACCAATACTACTGATGCTAATATTAGTACCAACACTAATACTAATAACATTAATATTATTAATAAATGACACCAAGTCTACCTGCCCATTATTAATTACCCCAATTAATGCAATACTAATACTAATACCGATACCAATACCAATACTAAGACTACTGACGCTAATATTAATACCAATAGTAATACTAATAATATTATATTATTAAATAAACGACACCAAGTCTACCTGACCGTTATTAATTACCCCAATTAATGCAATACTAATACTAACACCAATACTAATACAAAATTAATACTAATATGAATACTAATACTAAAAGTACTCGAATACTAATACTACTGATGCTGATATTAATACCAACACTAATACTAATAATATTAATATTAATAAATAAATGACACTAAGTCTACCTGACCATTATTAATTACCGCAATTAATACAATACTAATTCTTATACCAATACTAATGCTAATATTAATATTTGTACTAATACAAATACTAGTACTACCAACATTAATACTAACACCAACACGAATAGTAATAATATTAATATTATTAAATAAATGACACCAAGTCTACCTGACCGTTATTAATTACTCCAATTAATGCAATACCAATACCAATACTAATGCTAATACTACTAACGCTAATATTAATATCAACACTAATACTACTACTACTAATATTATTAAATGACATCAAGTCTACCTGACCATTATTAATTACCCCAATTAATGCAATACTAATACCAATACTAATACTAATACTAATACTACTCAAATTCTAATACTACTGATGCTAACATTAATACCAATACTAATACTAATAATATTAATACTATTAAGTAAATGACACCAAGTCTACCTGACTGTTATTAATTACCCCTGTTAATGCGATACCAATACCAATGCTAATATTACTGACGCTAACATTAATACTAATACTAATAATATTAATATCAATATTAATAAATAAACAACACCAAGTCTACCTGACCATTAATAATTACCCCAATTAATGCGATACTAACACCAATACCAATACTCCTGACACTAATATTAATACCAGCACTAATACTAATTATGCTATTAAATAAACGACACCAAGTCTACCTGACCGTTATTAATTACCCCAAATTATGCAATACCATGACCACTACCACTAATATTAATACCAGCACTAATACTAATAATATTAATATTAAATAAACGACACCAAGTCTTCCTGACCATTATTAATTACCCCAGTTAATGCAATACCAATACCAATACCGAAATTAATACTAATACAGATACTAATAAAAACAGTACTCAAATACTAGTACTACTGATGCTAATATTAGTACCAACACTAATACAAATAATATTAATATTATTAAATCAATGACACCAAGTCTACCTGACCATTATTAATTACCCCAGTTAATGCAATACTAAGTCTAATACCAATACTAATACTAATAGTAATATTAGTACTAATACCAATACTAATACTACTAA